CAAGTGACCCGATGTAGGGGGAACAGTCCCTATTCTGCTCTGTGTCAGTGTGTATCAGTGATCCTTAGGACAGGTGTCAATCCATATCTGCCAAGTGACCCTATGTAGGAGGAACAGTCTCTATTCTGCTCTGTGTCAGTGTGTATCAGGGGCTTTGAGGACAGGTGTCAATCCATATCTGCCAAGTGACCCTATGTAGGAGGAACAGTCCCTATTCTGCTCTATGTCAGTGTGTATCAGGGATCCTTAGGACAGGTGTCAATCCATATCTGCCAAGTGTAGGGGGAACAGTCCCTATTCTGCTCTGTGTGAGGAGGAATGGGAAATGAGTAGCTCGGCATCCAACCTTGTGCAAATGGGGTCTTTCATGCTGTCGTGCCTGTTGAGGGACCCTCGTATAAAAAGGCTGAAGGAGAACGACCTGTGCTGGGTGTCCACGCTACTAGACCCCCGGTATAAGCAGACAGTGGCGGAAATGTGACCGAATTACAAGTGGGAAAGGATGCAGCATTTGCAAAATAAATTAAAAAGTATGCTTTACACAGCGTATAAGGGTGATGTCACAGCACAACGGGAATCTAACAGGGAAGAGGTGAAAGTAATCCTCCTCCTCCCACGACAGCGCCATATCTGCCGTGACCCTGTGTAGGGGGTAACAGTCCCTATTCTGCTCTGTGTCTGGTGTGTATCAGGGGCTCTGAGGACAGGTGTCAATCCATATCTTCCAAGTGACCCTATGTAGGGGTAAGAGTCCCTATTCTGCTCTGTGTCAGTGTGTATCAGGGGCTCTGAGGACAGGTGTCAATCCATATCTGCCAAGTGACCCTATGAAGGAGGAACAGTCCCTATTCTGCTCTGTGTCAGTGTGTATCAGGGATCCCTAGGACAGGTGTCAATCCTTTCTGCCAAGTGACCTGATGTAGGGGGAACAGTCCCTATTCTGCTCTGTGTCAGTGTGTATCAGGGATCCTTAGGACAGTGTCAATCCATATCTGCCAAGTGACCCTATGTAGGAGGAACAGTCCCTATTCTGCTCTGTGTCAGTGTATCAGGGATCCCTAGGACAGGTGTCAATCCATATCTGCCAAGTGACCCGATGTAGGAGGAACAGTCCCTATTCTGCTCTGTGTCAGTGTGTATCAGGGTCTCTGAGGACAGGTGTCAATCCATATCTGCCAAGTGACCCGATGTAGGAGGAACAGTCCCTATTCTGCTCTGTGTCAGTGTGTATCAGGGATCCCTTGGACAGGTGTCAATCCATATCTGCCAAGTGACCCTATGTGGGAGGAACAGTCCCTATTCTGCTCTGTGTTAGTGTGTATCAGGGATCCTTAGGACAGGTGTAATCCATATCTGCCAAGTGACCCTATGTAGGGGGAACAGTCCCTATTCTGCTCTGTGTCAGTGTGTATCATGGTCTCTGAGGACAGGTGTCAATCCATATCTGCCAAGTGACCCTATGTAGGGGCAACAGTCTCTATTCTGCTCTTTGTCAGTGTGTATCATGATCTCTGAGGACAGGTGTCAATCCATATCTGCCAAGTGACCCTATGTAGGAGAACAGTCTCTATTCTGTGTCAGTGTGTATCATGGTCTCTGTGGACAGGTGTCAATCCATATCTGCCAAGTGACCCTATGTAGGAGAACAGTCTCTATTCTGCTCTGTGTCAGTGTGTATCATGGTCTCTGAGGACAGATGTCAATCCATATCTGCCAAGTGACCCTACGTAGGAGAACTGTCTCTATTCTGCTCTGTGTCAGTGTGTATAATGGTCTCTGAGGACAGGTGTCAATCCATATCTGCCAAGTGACCCTACGTAGGAGAACTGTCTCTATTCTACTCTGTGTCAGTGTGTATCATGGTCTCTGAGGACAGGTGTCAATCCATATCTGCCAAGTGACCCTACGTAGGAGAACAGTCTCTATTCTGCTCTGTGTCAGTGTGTATCATGGTCTCTGAGGACAGGTGTCAATCCATATCTGCCAGATGACCCTACGTAGGAGAACAGTCTCTATTCTGCTCTGTGTCAGTGTGTATCATGGTCTCTGAGGACAGGTGTCTATCCATATCTGCCAAGTGACCCTATGTAGAAGGGACAGTCTCTATTCTGCTCTGTGTCAGTGTGTATCAGGGGCTCTGAGGACAGGTGTCAATCCATATCTGCCAAGTGACCCTTTGTAGGAGAACAGTCTCTATTCTGCTCTGTGTCAGTGTTTTTCAGGGGCTCTGAGGACAGGTGTCAATCCCTATCTGCCATGTGACCCTATGTAGGAGAACAGTCTCTATTCTGCTCTGTGTCAGTGTGTATCATGGTCTCTGAGGACAGGTGTCAATCCATATCTGCCAAGTGACCCTATGTAGGAGGAACAGTCTCTATTCTGCTCTGTGTCAGTGTATATCAGGGGCTCTGAGGACAGGTGTCAATCCGTATCTGCCAAGTGACCCTATGTAGGAGGAACAGTCTCTATTCTGCTCTGTATCAGTGTGTATCATGTTCTCTGAGGACAGGTGTCAATCCATATCTGCCAAGTGACCCTATGTAGGAGGAACAGTCTCTATTCTGCTCTGTGTCAGTGTGTATCAGGGGCTCTGAGGACAGGTGTCAATCCATATCTGCCAAGTGACCCTATGTAGGGGGAACAGTCTCTATTCTGCTCTGTGTCAGTGTGTATCATGGTCTCTGAGGACAGGTGTCAATCCATATCTGCCAAGTGACCCTATGTAGGAGAACATTCTCTATTCTGCTCTGTGTCAGTGTGTATCAGGGGCTCTGAGGACAGGTGTCAATCCATATCTGCCAAGTGACCCTATGTAGGAGGAACAGTCTCTATTCTGCTCTGTGTCAGTGTGTATCATGGTCTCTGAGGACAGGTGTCAATCCATATCTGCCAAGTGACCCTATATAGGAGGAACAGTCTCTATTCTGCTCTGTGTCAGTGTGTATCAGGGGCTCTGAGTACAGGTGTCAATCCATATCTGCCAAGTGACCCTATGTAGGAGGAACAGTCTCTATTCTGCTCTGTGTCAGTGTGTATCATGGGCTCTGAGGACAGGTGTTAATCCATATCTGCCAAGTGACCCTATGTAGGAGGAACAGTCTCTATTCTGCTCTGTGTCAGTGTGTATCATGGCTCTGAGGACAGGTGTCAATCCATATCTGCCAAGTGACCCTATGTAGGGGGAACAGTCTCTATTCTGCTCTGTGTCAGTGTGTATCATGGTCTCTGAGGACAGGTGTCAATCCATATCTGCCAAGTGACCCTATGTAGGGGGAACAGTCTCTATTCTGCTCTGTGTCAGTGTGTATCATGATCTCTGAGGACAGGTGTCAATCCATATCTGCCAAGTGACCCTATGTAGGAGGAACAGTCTCTATTCTGCTCTGTGTCAGTGTGTATCAGGGGCTATGAGGACAGGTGTCAATCCATATCTGCCAAGTGACCCTTTGTAGGAGAACAGTCTCTATTCTGCTCTGTGTCAGTGTGTATCATGGTCTCTGAGGACAGGTGTCATTCCATATCTGCCAAGTGACCCTATGTAGGAGGAACAGTCTCTATTCTGCTCTGTGTCAGTGTGTATCATGGTCTCTGAGGACAGGTGTCAATCCATATCTGCCAAGTGACCCTATGTAGGAGGAACAGTCTCTATTCTGCTCTGTGTCAGTGTGTATCAGGGGCTCTGAGGACAGGTGTCAATCCATATCTGCCAAGTGACCCTATGTAGGAGAACATTCTCTATTCTGCTCTGTGTCAGTGTGTATCAGGGTCCTGAGGACAGGTGTCAATCCATATCTGCCAAGTGACCCTATGTAGGAGAACAGTCTCTATTCTGCTCTGTGTCAGTGTGTATCATGGTCTCTGAGGACAGGTGTCAATCCATATCTGCCAAGTGACCCTATATAGGAGGAATAGTCTCTATTCTGCTCTTTGTCAGTGTGTATCAGGGGCTCTGAGGACAGGTGTCAATCCATATCTGCCATGTATATGTATGAGAACAGTCTCTATTCTGTGTCAGTGTGTATCATGGTCTCTGTGGACAGGTGTCAATCCATATCTGCCAAGTGACCCTATGTAGGAGAACAGTCTCTATTCTGCTCTGTGTCAGTGTGTATCATGGTCTCTGAGGACAGGTGTCAATCCATATCTGCCAAGTGACCCTATGTAGGAGGAACAGTCTCTATTCTGCTCTGTGTCAGTGTGTATCAGGATCTCTGAGGACAGGTGTCAATCCATATGTCAAGGTGTCAGTATGTCATATGTCAGGTGTCAATCCATATTCATTGTGATTTAGGAATGTTAGGTGATTTATGCCCTTTATGGATTAAGACCAGACTCTGCATCAACTGTGTAATTTTCCATGGGAGTTTTGCCATGGATCCCCCTCCGGCATGCCACAGTCCAGGTGTTAGTCCTCTTGAAACAACTTTTCCATCACTATTGTGGCCAGAAAGAGTCCCTGTGTGTTTTAAAATTCGCCTGCCCTTTGAAGTCTATGGCGGTTCGCCGGTTCGCGAACACTTGCGGAAGTTCGCGTCCGCCGTTCGCGAACCGAAAAGTTTGTGTTCGCGACATCACTACTCTTGAGAGGGGGGGGAGGGCCGGCACATCCATAAGGCGCTACAGGCAGCCGCCTTAGGATGACAGAGCAGGTGGGCGTAAAAATCCAAATTCCCTGCCTGTCTTTTCAAATCACCTGTCTCCCTGCAGCCAGCACACAGCATATTGCCAGTAAGGTCAGCCAACTGCTTCTGATGATCTAAGAAGGAGAGTGTGACTTCCACTTCTCTTCTCCCCAGTGTTCCTCTACACCTCTCGTGCCCTCCTCTATAGCTTCTGTGCCGCCTTCTACAGTCCCTCTGCCCCTCAAAATAAAAATAAAGGGCACATGGGGGGGGGGGATGCATCATTGTTGGTGTATCCAAAAATCCTTGTAGAGGAGAGATGTCATCCCCATTTCCCAGTGGATCTGCTCATCACTTTATCTATCTCAGGTGAGGTGGCCAACTGTATCTAAGCATATTACTAAGTTGAGGAAAATAAACTAACTGGGACTCTCCCATTAACAGCTAGGTAAAAACCCTGTGCTGGAAAACTTGAAAAGAACTTTGAAGAAAAAGATTAACAGAGCATGGGTGTGGTCCATGTTGTCCACTCAGAAGATTCAAACTGAAAAATGCCACCACCCTCTCCCATCTCCTGGGGCAGAGGGAGTCTATCACCTCTGTGCCTACCTGTCACATCCTGTTCCTAGCTGCGGATCATTCTGGCAATGGCTTCTGGTATCCAGTACTCTTTTTACAATTCTTGTTTAGTTTTTCTTGGTTTTTCTGGTTTTCTATTCTATGTCTGGTTTTCTTTATGCTGGGGTTCTGGGTTCATTCCTTTTATTAGGTTCCTGGAATTCCCAGTCTCCAGGATTCATTTAAATGTTTGTTTTATGTTGCCACACCCGTTTTTCATCATTCCTTTTGTTTCAGTGTTCCTGCAGGCAACTGCTCAAGTCTTCTGCCCTTTCTTGCAGGTAAGTACTATGTGTGTTTTCTTTGGTTGGTTTAGCTTGCATTAGGCAGAGTAGGACCTGCCAGATATGCCTATTGTGACGAGAGCAACATTGCATTAGAGAAGCCTGGTTCCTCGCCTGTTGCCTTTAGACTATGGCCCCATGTTAAAAGACATCTTTTTTTTACCTGCAGAAAAGATTTATTCGTTCTTTTCTGCCTGGTGTTCGGTAGATTCAATCTACCGAACAACTGCACGAATGACTGGACCACCTGGTAGCTGGAGTGTGCCGGCAATTAGCCTCCCTGAAGCTGCAGTTAACCGCAGCTTAATTGACGAATGCTGGGTGGCCACCATTCGTATCACGAACACTAAGTCGCGGCCATTTTAAACACGCGAACGCACAGCGGTGTTCGACGTTTAATTCATGGAACTGAAATTGGACACAGTTTTGCGCAAACACCGCTAAAGCCGCCGACCTCCCTTCTTGTTCGGTGAAAGTGCACGAACGGCCTGGTGTTCAGTAGTTTTGTTTGAATGTGTTATACCCCAGATAGGAATCCCATGGAGCCCATTCGCATGAAACTGACTGTGTAAAGACTTTGGCTTCATGGCAATTAAACTGTATTCATGTGGTCTGAGCGCCATTCACTTAATAATGTGCTCTCACACCTGAGCTATCTGGGGATATGTTAAATGTATGCTTTTAATGTTATGTGTCTCACATAGTGCATTTTAATATTAATTCCTGTGTTAGTATCCCCACGTGCATAATGGCGATTTGCCTTTGTCTTGGGAGATAATTGAATTACTTCTCAATTATCTTCAGGGCAGAGGGGAGGAAGCCAGGATGCATTGTGGGAATATAATGTGACTGTGTGTTCTATTTGTCTACTTGTCTGTCCCTTGTCACAGTCTCCCATTTGGTCCCCTAGGGGACTGTCCAACAGGTGGGAGACCTGCATAAATAGGTAGCCCTCATTAAACAGACCACTGCTTGACCCTCAACACGGAGCCTTGTCTCGTCTTTGGGGGGATTTACTGAATGCTGATAGAGACTGATTGCTAGGAGTGTAAGCCGCTTGGATGCTTTTCTTATTCGTCTGCTAGCAGCGATTCGTATGGTCCCAGTTCGTGTGTTTGGAGTGCTATATTGGATGCCGTTCTGGAGTTTGGAGCATTCCCTTATTGGCGGTTTGTGAGTTTGGTGTTTTATAATAGCTGTGGCTGCATCTCTGAGAAGGGGGCGATCGCCTAAACGTTTTTTAACCTCTTGTGTGCCGAAATGGTCCGTTACACCCATCATATCTTGTCTTGTTTTAGTTTGTATTCCCAGCCCATGTACAGTCCTGTCCAGTCCTGCCCATGTTATGTCAATGTTTCCCTTATGTATTGTGTACATGTTCTGGGTTTAGCTTCCTATCCTTCTCTGGTTCTGGGTTCTATTGGTTCTGTCTTGTTTTTCATGTTTGGTGACTATCCTAGTTTTTCCTTGTTTCAGTACTGGATACATTCTTGCTGCAGTACCTCCCTATTCAGCTCTGGGAGGTCTGCTTAATTCCTGCTCCTAGTTCCTGGGATCCGCATAAGCTGGATCAGGGTTCTGGTATGTGGCTGTACAAACGCTGGTGCTCAACACCACGGGGCATGCGGTTACCCTGCACCAGACCCTGCTAATCCACCACCACACTGTGACTCCTACTCTGAACATCAGGCATACTGGGTTCCGGTCCTCGCACCGCCACCCGGACAGTGTCTGGGTCCCGGGCACTGGACTGCCACCCTGACACTACCTCTGTCAACTCATCCTGCTATTCCCTGTTCCCCTGCTCTGTGAGCACCAGCCACTTTACCAACAAGATGAGAGCCATTGGTCCACAGTCATCTTGCAGGCTTATCCGACCTGCTTTGAAACAAAGACCAAGGAGTCAACACGTGCATGAGTACAATGAAGGTGAGAGCTGGGGTGCCCTGACCAAAGTAGGTTACCTCCACCCCACATGACATTTACCGCAGCACCGGGCCATCTCCCCAGACCTGTACAGGTGGTGGAACATGAGCATGCATTATAGGACCTGTGAAATTGTGAAATATGCCTGTGCAGGGCAAAGCTGAAGGTGGTTGGCAGTGTCCTACCTGGATATAGGTGGGAATGACTATTCATCACGATAGCTGGTGCTTACTTATTCTCCGTTTTATTCAGTAAAGCAGATGATTAGAGGTATTGGCACCAAAACAATCTCAACCCATTCTCAAAATGTAATTGGGTCATATGCCTGGCTCACTGGCTTGAAGGCATGGTGGAATGTGAGCCATGTTTGGTGGGCAAATCTGGCACTTTTAAATACCCAATGTCAATGTTCATAAGATTCCCCCAAAAAGGTTATTTGATATAGATAGCAGGACAGTAGCTATGGAAGTAGGACATAATAATGAGTGTGTAAGGAAAACTCTGCCAAATCAGCCTATATGCTGACTTACAACTGCTTCAGACAGGGGGAATCTGTTTTAATTAAAACAAAGAATGGTGAAGACCTGATGCAGGTGTTGACATGATTTCTGCCGAGTGTCAAAGCAATGCAAAGAAATTCAGTGAAGTTCTGGTAAACAGTAACTATGATATAATAGCCAAAAGCCTTATTATCTGGTTGCACACATAAATGGATGAATGCTATTCCAACTGTCCCTACCTATTATCAAATGAAACCAGAGCCAAGAGTGGTGGAATCAGCAGGAAAGAAGACCTTGTTGAGCTTGACTCAAGTCTTCATCTGAGAACAGACATGAGATCTGTAGGAGTCCCCTGCTCATTTAAAGCTTGGAGGGCTGGTGCAAATATGTTCACCACAAGTGGTGTTTCTAGAGTTTAGTCCCCCTGTTTCCAAGCTAAAGATAACATTGCGTTTCTGCACATGCGCTCCCTCACTGCTGCTGTGTTTTTATGAAATCCGCAGGTATTCTGACTGCTTATGTGATGTCACTGTGCAAACCTGTTTCACAACCCACAGAGAACTGATCTCCCTGCTAGTCCAGCCTAGAATTTAATGGAGCTAGGAAGCAGAAGGGCAGAGCTAAGTGCTAGGGAGGGTTTAAATTTGCTCATGCCGCTAGTGAGGTAAAGGAAGGTGGGCTACCTAGATAAGGTAGTAAAGGAGAATAATGAAATGTATTCTCATGTCATAGAGCTACCCCTCCCAGGTGAGATCCCTGTTATGGCATAAGGGACAAAATACCACATTTTGATCAGGTACGATTCCCCTGAGACACTGCCACCACACCCTAAACAGCTAAAGCAAACCTGTTTCCAGAGTTTTCAGAGTTTGACTACTGGGGGCATCACTTGTGCCAGGGGGACCCAGGCCATTTCCCCTGAGTACCTGCCATACATCACCAAAAGGCTGGGTGGGGGAAGCAGCGGTTGGGGGGAGCTGCTCCTCTGTTTCCCCCAGGCAAAGCTCCTGGGAGTGAAAAACTACACCAAGTCACAGCTTTTTCAGGCCAAGTCATCCCTGTGGCTGGCATACAAAAAGTAGCATAAACAACATATAGCTGCAATAAATATGCCCAGATTGACTGGCTGGTTGAAAATGTTGCAGCTTTACCAGGCCTTGATTTAGTTGAATTTGAATAATTTACTTATTTATACTTTAAAGTGGCATTTAGACAGTATTAATAAAGCTAAACCCAAAAGATAAAAATGAGGACCCTCACCGGAAAAATTATGTGTCAATAGCTATAATGTGATATTCACTCCTAAATGACAGAGAACTGAGCAGTGAGATTGCAGAGTAGTTATCCATAAACAAAAAACACTTCATTATGCTAACATTGTTTTGCTGTCAATTTAAGTAGCGGCACCTGGTAACCCCTTGTTGCTATTGGTGAAATTTTGTAATTGGTAAACAGCTACTATTTGCTAACACTTTTGACATGCATTTTATATACATTTATTATTATTTACCAAATTTATCAGTTTTAAGATTTATTTATTTAAAAAATTTTTATGACATACTTAAAATGTGAGACAGAGTACTGGGACAATTATGTAGCAGGACACAAGTCCAAAAACCATGATAATCCCTTGACATTCCAGATAGTTAAGTATAAAGAATTCACTGTTTCACCGCTTTAATGTTAGTTCTGACATAATAAATAGAAACATAGACTGTGACGGCAGATAAGAACCATTCTGCTCATCTGGTCTACCCAATTAAAAAAAATAAAAAAAAATTAGTACCTAACCTTATCTTAAGTCTAGGATAGCCGTATGCCTATCCCATGCATGCTTAATCTCCCTCACTGTGTTAACCACTTCAGCTGGAAGGCTATTCCATGCATCCATTATCCTTTCTGTGAAGTAATACTTCCTGAAATTATTTTTAAACCTTGCTCCTCTAATTTAAAACTATGATAGAAACATAGAATGTGACAGCAAACCTGTATGTAAAACCCAATTCTTTAGTCAAACAAAGGAAAAATATACCCAATAGAGCAACACAGCATGTAAATCTCTTAGTCAAAACTTGTTGTGAAATGCCTTGATATTAATAAAATCAGAGCACTGGACAATAATGATTTAAGATATGCAGAACATGGTTTCAAAGATTCTATCCAGATGATAAACTCCCTGTAATAGAACACATTAGTGGACACCAGATTAACATAAGATTGCAAAATGTCACCCTACTGAACCTATAAAATCATCCGTGCACAAAACAAACAAGCTGTTTTGCACCATTCAAAAGGCTTTGCAAACCAAATGTATATCAATATGCTTGTCTTTATCATGCACAGATGGTATAAACCGCAGCTTTTTAGACTATATGCTACAGTGGAAAAATGTATGCAAGTCTCCCGTGGACCTGCATATTTTTATGAGGTTCAGCCTATGCCAATTGCTAAATTAGTGAGCAGTAATGATATTCTAGATTTGTATTTTTTCAACAAAAACAGACTATGAGAACAGACAAAAGCATAGAGAATCTCAATAGACTGCCCTTTGGTTCAGTGGCGGATCCAGAGCCTAGCTGGCAGGGGAGAGGGAGACCGGCGGATTTCTCGGGGCAATTGCCCCGTTGCCCCCCCCCCTGGATCCGCCACTGCTTTGGTTAGTCCCTGCTCTGATCGTAAATATTTTAGCTAATTTGTGCCATTATATAGAGAACCTACACTATTTGCATATTAGACTGATCCCACCCATAAGGGTAGTTCAGAACCAAAATGCTGGCAAGTTATCACTGCATGAGCGCTTGAAGGGTAATCCAGATGCTCACTGTGCCCAAGAGGTATCAGCTAAACCTCACTTGATGAGGCCCAAAGAAAGTTAAAATAACCCTCTAGTGTTGTGCATCTCTCATGCAGGCACTTTGGTTCTGGACTTCCCTTCATGATTGATACTTCACTATTGCCACTTATCTGTGTTCTCTTCCTCAAAAAAAAACCCTCAAACCGCAACCTCAAAGTTCTGTTGGCACTTCAAAACCAAGTGAGAATTATGTAAATAACACAAGATACCTAAGATTTTTTGCTTGACCATGTTTGAATCTTCATGGCTGCATGACTTAACAAATGTCAATGCCATGCAGGAAACATTTAACCAGAATAAAATTCTATGAGGTTATGTTCAATTTACCTAGCCTTTTTTTTTTTTTTTTTTTTTTATAAACGGAGCTTTATTACCAAATATACAGTTATCTCTGACAATTTAATCATATTTTTTGAAAGTTTAGATTTAGTTTAAAAACTTGATAATTTGATTCAAGGGTTACTTCAATGGTGATAACCACTTCAGCCCAATTTTTCGATGGCTTGCCCTCTTAACAAGGTCCCCGTCAGGGGATTTGTCTCTTTAGCATTCATCACCCTCAACTTATTTCACCCTGGCTCTGCAGAGCAGTGGCGTCTCTAGGATTAATTTTTAGGGGGGGGCACATGGAGGGCCAGGGACAAAAGTAGGGGGGCACATTTAACCCTGTCCTCGCTGCAGTTTGACCCCGCCCCTGTCGCATGTTAAGCTCCACCCCGACACAATGTGTTTTTTTGTTTTTTTTAATAATCCCTGGTGGAGGATTCATTATTTTCCACCAGGGATTATTAAAAAACAAACACATTTCCCTTGATACAGTGCCATATTTGCCAACTTTTGAAAAAAAATTCCAAGGACATTTTGCAGCACAGCTATCAATTACTGTCTGGGTATAATATCCCTGGACAGTCAGTGCTCTCTGTATAATACAGGGTTGTGTGTATAATAAATTGGGACACTCAGTGCTCCCTGTATAGTGCTGCTCTTTGTATAATACAGGTCTGTTTGTGTATAATATCCCAAGACAGAGAGCAGCACTATACAGGGAGCACAGGCCTGTATTATACAGAGAGCAGCACTATACAGGAAGCACTGACTATCCCAGGATATTATATACACACAGATCTGTATTATACAGATAGCTGAGCATATACCCCATGTCCTAATCTCTAGACTACTAATACCTGTCAACAGCAGCTCCCAGACGCGTGTAACAGGGCTAAAGTGTGCGGCAGCTCACACAGATGATTCAGCGGTAAAGTGCACTCGCTGGCAGAGCCAAACTGGGAATCCCTGGGAATCCAAAGCAGCCCAGAAAAAGAAATGTATGCCATTCCTACAAGTCAAAATATATATATATATATATATATAGTACATATATATAGTACAGTAAGCACACAAGCTCACTGACATGCGCAAATAGGCTTACTGACAGACAAAACTCTCTGACTCACACACAAGCTTACTACAGACAAACTCACTTGTATAAACAGAAGGCTCACTACAAAGAAGTTCAGGGATACACACAAGCTCACTAAATAGAAGCTCACTGACACACACAAGTAGTACCATTTTAACTGACATGCGCAAATAGGCTTACTGACAGACAAAACTCTCTGACTCACACACAAGCTTACTACAGACAAACTCACTTGTATAAACAGAAGGCTCACTACAAAGAAGTTCAGGGATACACACAAGCTCACTAAATAGAAGCTCACTGACACACACAAGTAGTACCATTTTAACAGAGTTAAGGGCCCCCGGGCAAAGTGTCAGAATATTTATATCGGCAGACATTTTGTGCTAAGAAAGAAATTAAAAGTGTATATTGCCAGAGTCACTCAGAACAGAGTGGACTCCATTTTGCTATATTCAGGATAACAAAGACACATAATTTCTTCTTACTTTCTGTAACTAGCCACTTGCCTGAGCTAAGGAATGTATTACATAAACAAGCCAAGTGATAAGCAATTAAGCAGGGGGATGGAATGCTCTGTTTAAATGTTAATGGAATAGAAGTAATTTTAAACACAGACACTAGTGACAGAGAAGACTAAGTAATTCATTTTACTTTCTAAATTTTACAAGGTCCCATTGTAAGTAAGGGGTGAAATTAAGTTTAGAACTGTAAATTTTACAAATTACGATCAAAGTAGTTGCCACAAAGACTGAGACAAACGCTTTGAACTGACAGCAAATCTAAGTTATGGTAGTCATTTTAGATAAGCCAAATGACGTCAAAATCGTCATCAGGAAATGTTAACTCTTTCCTGGATAGGAAGGTTTAGTTAGGCAAGACTGCCCTCTATGGATCAAATACCTAAATTGCGATCCATAGATTGAACACACCTACGGTTTCCTATTGGCTTATCAACTAATGACGTACAGAGAGTCTGGCCCTTTAAAAGTTAGGTTAGTTGGTA